AACCTTCTTTACTAATTCATCTGAAGGCTTTGAATAAAGTATATCTTGAAATTCAGTTGGGCAGTATGGGCGATTTTTGTTTCAAAGATCTACTTGCTTTTCTTCTGAAAGGCCTTTTAATGGAAGCTTTTGAGGACATAGATTTATTGGATTAACATTAGTTTTTAACAACTGAAATTCATCTCACGGGTCTGTTACTCTTATTTTAGCTCTCATTAATCTAAAATTTTTATGAGTAAACTGAAAGAGTTGATATTTTTGAATTGCAGGAGGCTTCCAGTACAATATACTAAGTGCTGAGGTCCAATCACTAAAGAGATCTGTTTTTTCTTCTAAATTTACAGAAATATTATTACTTGTACTTCTATCTATTACTTCAACAAGATGATTAATACACCAAGCTTCAGATTTTGTATACTCTAACTTAATACAGCCAAATCCACATTTAACTGAATTTCTTGTATGGTCTTTAATTTGAAATTGATAGTCAATTTTTTAAAATTTTTTAGTATTACACATTCAAAGAAGATACCAAAGAAGACACAAATTTTTATTTTGGTCATCACAATTGTCTGCCCATAGTTTAATTTCTTTTGCATCATCTGTTACAGAAACAAGAAAGTAATGCAACATCGAAGTAATTTCGTTTGGTCCTTTTGATGCTTTACTCTCAGTATAAATTGCATATCAATGCTTATCAATATCTTTATCTACCAAGCCAAATTGATGCACCTTTAATAATAACAAATAATACTATATACCAGGCTGTTGAGGATTATGAGGTAATTTTATATTTTGAGCAAAATCAAATGAAAAAACACAAAGAGAAGAACAGTCATAGCTTTTTGCTTTTTGTATATTATTTTCATAAATGTTTCTCATTTCTCAATAATCTGATATGTATATATATTATTAATTGCTCATTAATATCTTCATTTATATGATTACTACTCTCCTTTAAAGCATGTTTGTATAAAGTACATTTATCATATACGTCTTTAGATAGTTTTCTTATTATAATTTTACTAAGCTTATTATTATGTTTTCATATTTGTCGAAAAGTCCAATGGTTATTAATACAGTTTTCTGGCTCATTAAATTATAAAGATCAAGAAGGCACTCATAAGAATAATAAGAAGGTA